AATGAAGGCGTTTGCAGGTCGTGCACCGGCTGTACCTGCCTCTGCTGGCACAGCCCCTGTCCCGTGCTCCGTGTCCACCATGCCCTGAGTCCCCTAAGACGCTGAATCCTGGGTTTGCCTCAAACGTGGGTTTGCTTCCTTCTCTCCAGTCCTAGCTGTGCTGGAAACGTTCCTGAAAATGAAAGCCAGCTCTTTTCTGAGCTTTGAAGTGTGGAGTGGAATTGAAGAGAGAAAAAAAAAAAAAATCTATCCTATGGGGGATGGATTTTTAGAAAAAACCCTATTGAGTCAACGGCATTTGTATTAAAAACAGCGAGTCCTTGGAGTCATTTCCATAGGAACCAGCCCTCCCGTTCCGGGCAGCCTCCCCGCAGCAGCGCCCAAGGCTGCGGCCGAGCGGGGAGCAGAGCTGCAAGGGGGGCTCCGAGGTCTGCCCGCCCCAGGCAGGGGACGCAGGGCAGGGCAGGCTCCTCGCTGTTGAATCAGTGATTCACAGCTCTGATTCACAACTGCATCCTATAGCCATGGAAGACGGCCAGATCTGGTCATCAGCTGTGTGCCTTTTTCCAATGTGAGAAGTTATTTTTGGGCGTTTTTAGATTACAGCACTTGTTTTTTTTCTGTGCCTCTGAATTCTGGATGATTGCACTGCAAGTAATTGAGGCACTTGAATTTCCTGCTTAGAGAAGTGAGCTCAATACCATTTTTTTGCAACTCTAAGGCATTTCTAAAATAGCTTTTCTGCATGTCATCATGGGGAGCAAACACACAGCTTTGGGGCTTTTTTTGCAAAATTTGGGAACACTGGGTGCAGTAGATTTGCAGAAAAGGAGCTGGGGGCCATCAGGTTGACCATGAGTCACCAGTGCACCCTTGCTGTGATGGAGACCCACTGTATACTGGGTTTTACTGGTAAGATTGTAGTCAGCAGGTCAAGAGAAGAGATGGTTGCCCTCATTTTGACACTTATAGGACCACACCTGGAGCACTGTGCCCAGTTTTTGGGCTCCCCACTGCACCAAAGACAGGGTCATATGGGAGCCACCAAAATGATCAGAGGTCTGGAAGAGGAGGCCAGGGAGATGGAGAAATCTCATACTCAAAATGTGGCTGCTCAGAGCCCTGAGCTTCTAATATATAGCTGCATCCAGCTGAAAGCTTGGCCCTGTTTTGAATGGGGTGTTGGACCAGAGACCTTCCCACCTTCGTTAGGCTGGGTGCTTCATGTCCCTCTCCATCTGAATCAGTCTGTGATTTTGTGATCCCACGGGGCATTAAGGGGATGTAGGGCTTGGGCTGTCCCCCTGACACTGGGGCATAACCGTAACGCAGGGGCCAGTGAAGTCCACCACGTGAGTTCACATGTGTTCACTCCCTCTCTAAGTCCAGAAGAAAGGAAAAAGATCTGAAACACCGCCCGTCTCCCCATCCTCTGGGGATGAACCTCTCTCTGCTCACTGGTGATGCAGGGTCACCCTTCCCTGGGGGCACACACCTCTAAAACACGAGCTCAAAACAACCTGAACAAGATCCACATGTTTCTTGGTACAGCCACTCCCCTTGTGCCGTGCACTGCTCAACCCCCTTCCAGGCTGCAGGGACTAACCACGGCCCTTCTTCGCCCCTTTCCCACCCAGCTCTGGGCAAGTCTGGTGTTGGGTGGTGGCCGGCTCCCCTGCCTGTGCCTGCATGCAGCCGTGGGGTCATTGGGGTGGAAAGCGAGGACCACCTGGTTAGGGAGCTCAGTGAGGGGGGTCCTGGTGCTACCTCCCAGGTGAATGCCCTGACCACAGGCTGAGCCTTTCCTTCCATGGCATGGCTTTGACAGGAGGCAGGAGGAGCTTCTGTCCAGTGCAGCCTGTTGCCCGAAGGAAAGGTGGGAGGGGAGGAAAGAGTCTTTTAGGAGGTGGAAAATGTGATGCCAGCACTGCCACATCAAAGAGGAAGTTGAATCTGGGCCTCCGATTTCAAAACAGAGTTCAAACCACAGGAATAATACAATTCTAAAAAAAAGGATTTGGCACTTCCTTGTGCTTTCCCTTTTCCCATCCCCGGTCCCATCAGCATGCCGGGGCAGCCCCCAGAGCCAGGAGCCGTGGCTGGGAGGCACCGGGGTGTTTCTGGGCAGCTTTCCTGCAGCCCTGAAAAACCTGGGAACCTCAGCTGCCAGCCGGTGGGGCAGGAGCTGCTAGGGTTAACTGGTGGCTGAATGGGTTGTGGTTTGCAATGGGGTTTAGGTTCCTAAGTCCTTTATTGGATCTAGCCCAGGGCTCTATTCCCAGCCCTGTTTGTGACATTAACAGGTCACTGCAGCCCCAGGGCTGTCCCCTGAATGTCCCCGCTGCCTGGGCTGCCTGCACGCTGCTCGCTGGCACAACAGCGAGTGCAGGGCAGCGGTACCCACGGCCGAGGAGTCTCAGCACAACCATCACGCAAGCGTTGAAATCAATTTGCGAGGCGGGTAAGCCTCGCTTCTGGCCTTCTTGAAACTGTGCCACCACACACGTCGCGGAGGAGCGATATAAATAGTTTTCAGGATGCCCTGGGTTGCAGCAGACGGCAGGTATTTTGGAAGCGGTGCTGTTGGCAGTGTCGTGCCGGGGCAGCCTCTGCTACATTAGGGACTGTTTGCATCTTCCACAGATAAACCGGTGTGAGAGCAGTGCCCGGCGCTGAGGATGGATCAGGCAGGCGGTACAGAAGGGGAAGGGACTGACGGGCGTGTGGTCCTGGCACAGGTCCTGCATGTCGTTGGGCAAGTTGTTTAAGACCAGATTTTCAGCAGTGTACCTGGGAGCGTCCATACACGCATCCTTACACTCAGATCTTGTGTTTCAAAAGGATTTTGCCCATATATACCCCTCACTGTGACCGAGCAGGGCCATGTGGGGCCTGATCAGAGCTCACGGGCACTCTTGTCCATCCCATGTGTCTGCAGTTTTTCTTCCTCTGTGCGGGACATTTGCACAGGGAGGACAGAGAAAGCTCTTGTGTGTTCAGGGCTTCCCTCCTTGCAGAGCTTTGATGCAGCTGGGGCAGTGACCTAGACACGGGAGCTGCCCGCGCTACAAGGTCACCGTGGCAGATACAACCTTCAAGGACGTGCCTGTGGGTCCGTCCCATTTCTGAAATGGCCATATTGAGCCTCTCCTGTGTGTGAGGGCTGCAGTGGGTGCAACCGTCGGGGGCACTCAGGCAGCAGGATGCTCAGCATGGTGGTGAAGAGCCCATCTGCCACCCAGCACGCGTTGCTGAGTTGGCATCGGCAGTTCCTGCGCTGGCATTTGCAGCGTGTGGGGTGCCAAGCGCTCAAGTGCGGAGCTGCCAGCAGGAGACCCCAGAGCTGGGGGAGATCTCAGCTGCTTGAGCATGTCCGAGCAGGGCTTCAGGGTGTGAGCAGGGCTTTTTCGGGGTCTGGCAGCTCCTGGGTGCAAGGGCTGGGACCACTGTGGTGGAGGAGGAGGCCACCTCCATGCCTTGCAGCCTGGTGGTTTGAACGCTTGCCTGAGAAACAGGCTCAGCTCTCTCCAAGGGGAAGGGCTTTCAAATCCCCCATCTCGCTTCTGGAGAGCTCCCAGCTGCAAGAGCAGGGCAGCCCTCGCCCCAGGCCAGCCAAGGGGCAGAGCCTGGCATCCCCGTGGGGGCAAGAGCTGCGGGTGGTCAGAGCACTCAGCTGGAGAGGGGAGACCGGCGGTCTGGGTGATGTGGTCACTTAGGGTCAGAGCAGAGGAGGACCCAGGAAGCTGGTGAGATTTTTAGGTCTCTCTGCTGGAAGCAGGGAGGCTCTGGAGGGGCTCTGGGAGCACAGCCCTGACCTCTCCGGAGGGGAAGTGCCACCACTAGTGAGTGGTGGCCGAGCACAGCTGGCACTTGGCAAACGTGAATGTGGAGCTTGTTAGACGGCACGCAGACTGCTGATAGTAACCTCGGTCACAAACCCTCCTTAATCAAAACCTGGAAGCATCCCCCGAGGTTTCCCGGGCGGATCTGTGGTGCTCAGCCCCTCCATCAGCCAGTCCTGGGGAACCAAGGTGGGTGCCCACCTCCCTTCTCTCCTCTCCCTGTTGCTCCAGCCTCCCCAGGACTGTTTGCTGCTGGCTCTGCAGAGCTGGCCAGTGCTCTTGACCTCCCGTCAGAGCAGGTTTTGCAGCTGGCTTCACGCTGATCCCAAAGCCTACCATGAAGCTGCAGAACGGAGTTGTAGCCTGAAACAGCTTGAAAGGTGCATCCACTCACATGGCCTGCAAAAGGAACAGAGGACCTGGTCGTACAAGGGTGCATGCACCTCTGGGACTTCAGGACCAGCATTTTCTGTGGTATTACATTATATTGGTGGGAAGGCATTACATTGTATTGGTGGGATTTTGAGGTGATGAGGTGCTGGCTGTCTCTGAAGTCGGGAGGAGTTAGGTAGGTGTTGCTGAGCTCCCACGTGCTTTTGGCAGTTATTCTTCAAAAGCCTGGAGAGGGATGGAGACCTCTGAAAGTGTCTTGACTCTTGAGTGTTATTTAATAGAAGGATTTAAAGCCTGCAACTCCTCTTCGCAGTGAACAAGCCCACAGCCTTAGCTTCTCATGCTGTCTGACAAGCCCATTCCTCCTGACGGAGCTGCAGTAACTTGCTGTTTTTTCCTTTTCCCGTAGCTCCCAGAATGGAGAGGAAGGTGGAGCCTGGCCGAACAACCAGTTTGACACGGAGATGCTCCAAGCCATGATCCTGGCTTCAGCAAACGGTTGGTCTCCATCACTTGTGGGAAAACCACGGCACTTGCTCTGGCGCGGACACCTCAGATGCATGCTCTTAGATAAGATGCTGGTGGGACTTATGTATCTGTGTTAACTGGGGTGGCTTCAAAAGTCCTTCTTCAACAGTTGCTGGTGGAAAAGCACTGCTGTCTGTGTTACCCTGCAGAGGAGAGGGGTTGGGAAGAATTCAGGCAGAGGAGATGCCAGGTAGCCATCAGCATGAGGCGTGCTGTAGACAGGGGTACCTCTTCCACCCAAACTACATTATCTGTGTACTGGAACAGAATGTTATCTGGCTCGTGATGCGGTTGTGTTACATGAAAGAGCCGGTCCTGAGATGATGTTTTATAAACTACTTGGTTCCCGAAGGTCACAGTAAATGAAATGTCTGCTGTGTTGCAACTTACCGTAAGGCGAGGAGGTAGGAAGCCTGGCAGATTTGCTTGTGGCTAGAGGCTGGGCCAGGAATACAGTAAACGCCTGACTCAGTATCCCCAACAAGCCTCGTGTCCAGAGACACCGGCGTGTGCTCCCTGCTCACACCGGGTCCCTCTGCCGAGCCGCGGGCTCACCAAGGTTTGCCTCAGCGGCTGCTGCTGGCTCTTTGCGGTCGTAGTCACAGGGGTTTGGTTTGGGGTCGTTTTGGGTTGGTTTGTTCTGGTTTATGCCTGTGCTGTGTGGAAGCGGTGGGCAGGGAGGGGTGTTCCCATGCACCCGCAGTCTCTATGGCTTTATATAAAAGAAGTGCAATTATCACTCTGTGCAGCGCTCTGGATAAAGAGGCTGGTTTTCATACAGCCTTTATTTATAAATACCTCCAAGTCTTTTCCCCTTGATTTAAAAATAGAAGCAACAGCATAGCCATAAAACCCTGTGCAAAATGCTTTGGATGTTTCCTTTGAGCTGTTGGGAGAGAAGGAATCTGGGGGAGGAGGGATGGCTTTGGTGTTGCTTTCTTGGAAAGCCTCTGCAGCTGAACTTTGCCGCTCTGCAGACACCAGGCAGCCTGGAGACCCAGCTGCCGTGGCCGGGGAAGGGGACGAAGGTCTTGGGCAAGGGAGTTGTTTACACTCAAGGGAAAGAAACAACGCGAAAATGTGTCTCTGGTCTGAAAAACGACTATGGAAAAATAGCCGCCGGGGTTGCATGTGGTTATCATCACCCCGTCCCTCCAGATCTGGTTTCCTTGCTCGCAAATAAAGCTGTTTTTCTGACTGCCGCTCCCGCAGTCCCCAGGATCAGAGAGCTGAGCGGGTCCCTTCCAGGTTAAGCACCTACTTCCACGTAGCCCCGGGCCCTATTGCAGCAAATCTCCCCCAGTCCACAAGTCCTAACCTCTCCCACTTCAGTCTGCCCAGGGGGTTAATTTAAATCAGATCCATCTGCTAGATAAAGGCTTCCCCTGCTGCAGCCCCAGGGAGAGGATGGCTCTGTGCAGTCCATCCTTTTCTTGCCCGTGCCAGTCCCTTGCTGCGCTGGATGGATGGACAGACGGATGGATGGATGGATGGAGCTGGGTGGGGACACAGCATAAGCTTTTTCCACCAGCACTGTGTTTTCATGTCTCCTCTGCTCTCTGTCCCCCCTTTTTCTGCTCTCACTCATTAAGCTAATAGTGGTGATCGGAGCAGGCTTTGATAAGGGGCAGCGCTAATTGCCCGTTAAGCTTTGTGCTGCCCATCCTTGGGTAATGTTTCCTGGCTACTTAAATGATCCTTAGCTCTTACTGTCACCCCCTGAGCTCTGTTTGAGCTCCAGGGCGGCAGGTGGGACACAGTGACACCGGTGATGGCACTGCGTGCCCTTCGCTCGCCCGCTCCTCCGAGTGTGAGCTGCTTCCGCACAGAGCGGTCGATCCTGACTTCCACCGCACCACGTCAAGCCCATGCTCGAGTCCCCACCGAGCAGAGACCACCCAGGAGGCAGAAACTCCCCTGATGCTGCTCGGCTCCATGAGCTAGGGATGCCCCCCAGAAGGGGCTGGTGATGCCCTACGTGCATCCTTACCCTGTGCCAGGGGTTATCCCTCGCTTCAGCAAGAGGCAGAGCTGGCGCTGCCGTGCCAAGCCTGCGCGATCCAGTCTCTCCGAGGATTAAATCGCTTGCCCCATGGTTAAATCACCCTCCCAAGCCAGAGTGCCTGGGGAGCTGGTTTCCCCCCAGGGCTGCGACCCTGCTGTAGGGCTTCTGTCTCCCTTCCCGCGCTCCATTCCTCTGGATCTTCCTCCCTTGCTGTTGGGAACAACAAGAAAAGCCAGTGTTTTGAGCCATCTGAAGGGGCAGGGGCAGCTGCTAAGACAGACCAAGGAGCACAGATGCTCCAGGACACCAGACACTAAAGGGCAGACATCCTGTCCTTAAAATACTCCGGCTTCCAGCGGGAATTTATAGGGGTGCCATGAGATGGTGGGAGAGCAGACGGAGAGGCAGCCCTAGGCGGTCCTTCTCCCCAGCTCCGCTGCCTGCAGCAGGGCCAGACACGCTATATTGGGTTCTCCTGAAAGCCCCACCAGCAGCTGCAGCAGCACATGCTCCGGGGCTGCCTCCGGCCGGGCTCTCCTCCCCTCTGCCCACGAGGGTGATGGAGCCGCTAGCTGGTTATTTTTGCCGTAGCCCAAATTCTTGTTTTCCTCCTCAGGACCGTTTGGGATAATGGCTGGCTGCTGGTAAAGGCTGAGCTTAACCTTTCCAGCAAGAAGAGCTGAAATGCCCTGCTTGGCAGGAGCAGCTCGGTGCCCATTTATAAACCTCTGTTGTCCCTGTTCTCTCTTCTTTTCAGCCTTAATGTCAATGTTACCTAGAAACAGCCCTTTGCTCTTGCCCGGGACCAACTAGCACGCTGGGAATTTCACAGGCGGCTTTTTCTCCCCCACGAAAGCTGTGCTGTGACTGCAAACTAGTTCATGGGGACCAGTTGTCCTGGATGGTGCTGGCAGCCCCCAGCAGCTCAGAGCCCCGGTGCAGCTGGATGGCCTGGGGGGAAGCAGGGCAGCGGCACCCAGGGCAGAGGAGAAGGTGCCCAAGCCCACCAAGCCCCCAACCGGGCTGTTCTCCCAGAAAAAACCATCTCCCCCGCTGCCAGAGGCCACAGTCCACCTGCGACCGGTCCCTCGCAGATGGACAGCACATCTCCAGCCATCCCGTCCCGCTTCGTAACACCCCGAGGGGTGTGGGGTTGAGTTGGTTGTTAATTCAACAAGCTGCTGATGAGCCGGGCGCAGATTAGCGATAAATATCACTAACTGTATATGCACATCTCCTCCAGCCCAAGGTCCACAAAGCCCCGCCAGATCTGGGACCCATTTGATGGGGACCGTAGAAAAATTCTCCTGCCGGTGAACGCTGTCACAGTGGAAATGGCGTTTCCCCACGCGGGTTCGCTGTGTTTGTGCACCGTCCTGCGCGTCCCCCGGCCTCGGTTGCACAATATCCCGCCTGTTTTCCCACTCGCCATGTGTTTTCCTCCGCCTGCTCCGGCAGAGCAGCTGTAACTTTTCAAACTGCAGTTGCTTCATGCTTCCGACCTCTCTGAGGGGATGTGTACACAGCAATATTTCAGGGGGTTGGTGGGATGTGGCCCAGCTTTTTGTCTAGCTTTCTGGCTGGCTTAGCCACCTCCATCGGCTCAGGGAAAGCAAAGGCAACACGGAGGCGTGCACAGATCTGGTCTGGAGCGAGGAAAAACATGAGGGGACCAGCCCACGTTCTCTGCTCGTTGTTTTCCTTTATTCCCGCTGTCTCTCTGCCTGCAAAAGAAGGGAGTAGCAGCCCCGGACTCTGCCTTGGGCCCTTCAGGTGCCCTTGCTGGGTTTCTCCAGCCTCCCAGGAGAGCGTGTCCATAGCCACATGCACGAAGCAGTGAAAAGGCTGAGATGGGAGCCACAGTAGCCAGGGCAGAGGCAGGGGTTTAGCAAATCATTTCTGAGCAGGGCTGTGCAAGGATCCCACCCTGAGCCACGCACGGCCGGTTGCACCGCAGCCGGTCATGCAGCAGCTCATGGCAACGGCATCGCTCGTGCCCTGCCGTCCCCCCGTACTCAGTTCTCCCCCTGTCTCCATGTGTCCCCCCTGTCTCCATCTGCTCTCTACCTTCCAGCAGTGCCCCAGCATCCCGGGGGGGCCCTGTGCCCTTCCCCGCCCCGGCGCTTGCTCTCTCCGTGCCGGGGCTTTGCAGCACGGCAGGAATGAATTTGCCTTCCCCTCCCCCTGCTCCCAGATCTGGACCATCGGATGCGCTTCGGCATTGATTTGCTTTGTGCTCGGCTTCCTAGAGCCATTTTGTGGTACTGCAGGGGAGGGATTTTCTTTCTCATCTCATGTGCTCTGCTCCCTGAATAAACCTGGCTGGAGAAATACTGGGGGCAGGGTTTTAAGTGCAGCGGATAAAAAAGAAAATATTGGATTTCCCTTAATGCATTACGAGTGGTTGTGGCTGTACAATATGGTTGTAATGGGCTGCTTTCGGGGGCGGGGGGGTGTTCTTCTGCGGAGGCAGCAGCCGGGGAGGGGGGCAGAGCAGGCAGCGTCAGGGAGGCAGGGAGGGCCAGGACAGTTGCCCCAGCCCCAAATCCCAAACCTTTGGCCACGATGGGAGATGGAAACGTTGCGGCTGTGGAGCGACAGCGCTGGAGGGTAGTGAGGGGTGGGGGTGAAGGCTGGTGGCACCGAGGTCTGGGTTTGGCACCCGGTGGGAGCCTTTCGGGGCTGCTGGGGCTTGGCCGGCACTAACAACCTGCCCTTCTCTTTTGCCCCCCGCTCCGGTGTCCCCCACAGAAGCTGCTGACGGCAACTCGACCCTGGGCGGCGGGACGGGCACCATGGGGCTGAGCACCCGCTACGGCCCCCAGTTCACCCTGCAGCATGTCCCCGATTACCGGCAGAACGTCTACATCCCGGGCAGCACCGCCACCCTCACCAACGCCGCCGGCAAGCGTGACGCCAAGAGCGCCGGCTCCTCGGGAGGCAACAAGAAGAAATCCGGGAAGAAGGAGAAGAAGTAGAGAAGAAGAAGGAGACCTTAGAGCCACAGGGCAGCCAGCTCCAGCACTCCCCCAAACCACAGCCCAGGCCGGAGGACGAATGTGAATTTTTTTTGTGACACAAAAAGTAGGAAACGAATGTATCTCATCATCATCAGAGCTAGGAGCAGGGTCTCGCTGCTATTAGGTCTCATGATGAAAACCAACCTGGAAGCAAAACCGAATGCAAACAAGTGCCCTGTGAATACTTGCTAATGTTTTATACGATCCCTCGGGTATTAGAATATGCAGAAGGTCTTCTGCCATGTCTTTGGATCCAATTTGGTCCCAGATAGTCCGAGAAAGGCACAAGGCTTGTGCTTGACTTTGCCCAGTGTAAATAATTTTAATGCGGATCTTTTAATTTATAGACATTCGATCATTTTTTGGAAAGGAAAAGGAAGTTCCTAGCTTAGAGCCCATGCTCCAGATCTTTGCTCTTAAACTTCCCGTTAGTAAAATTCACCCCAAGTTAATGATAGCGATGGGTTTGTTGCTGAGAAGTTGGTAGGGAGTGCTTCAGTTCCTGCTTACCTGTTACCTGGAAAAAAAATAAGTAAGTGTTTATATTGCATGAGTCAAAGGGAATATGGCAAAGCTGCATCCTAAACATTTATTTTTCTTTTAAAAGTGCAACCACTGATGGCCTGAAACGTGAGAAAAAAAAAAACAAACCCTCCTGATGTCTGAGAGGTAGGGAATTCACGGAGGAGCATGCCGAGGTGTGCGGCAGCTACCCCAGCGGTTCTAGGGGTCTCCGAAGAGCAGACACATCTCATCCCTTCTTTGCAGTAAATATTTATATGTACAGTCAATGTTCTTCTGGAATTAAAGCTAAGAGAGTCTCGCTCCCCTGTGGCCAGGCAGCCATCTGGCCGAGTCCCCGCCAAGGGGACCGGGGGACGATGCTTCACGCTTCTGCGCACCGCATCTGCATGCACGTCCTTCACCTCGCACCTGCACTAGCGCAGTTAGCTCCACGGGCCCAGAGAAGCCCTCGCGCGCCCACGCGGCGTGGTGTGAACGTGC